TTGTGCCTGGCTTGGGGGTGGGGAAGCCAGGCTTGCCCCCGGTGTCCCAACCAAGGCTAGCTTGGTGTTGCCCTTTGCCAGGGATGGGCCTGGGGACAGATGTGATGAGGAATAATAATTAGAAGTCAGCTGGGCCATCCCCAGAGGGCCTTTGGGAGAGAGTCCCGCCTTCCTCTGCTTTGCCTGAGGATCAGTCTTCCTCCCTGTAAAGAGAATCCCAATCCCAGCCTAGCTCCATTTTACAGAGGAGCAGACTGAGGCATGGAGCAGGATCCTGGCCAGAGTTGAGTGTGGTACCCCCATTGTCCCCTGCTCCGCTTGGCATAGGGGGTGGTGAGGCCGGGAGGGCCACCCAGCTGCAGGGGCAGGGCTGTCCCGTGGTCCTCTGGGTCTGGCCTACAGCCCCAGCATGGAGCTCTCCTGTGTGGGGTGGGGAAGGACTTTGGAAGCTTCAGGAGAAGTTGACGCCGTTGCTATGGATACAGAAAGTGAGAGGAGAGATGGGGCGGGGGCGGGAGGAGAGACTGGCTGTCTACTCCCTGCTCTCGCAGCCTCCGTATCCGGACTGTTACCCTGCCCCAGAGTCCCTGGTGCTGAGCAGGCGGTGAGCGGTGCCCCTGCTGGGGTCTTGGGCTCCTTCCTGGCAAGAGGGAGCTCAGATCCAGAAGTGGAGCTTCTAGGCCCTTCCCCAGGGCACCGCGGGTATCATTCTCTGTGGGTGTCCTGGGCACCGTGGGGGTTTCAGCAGCATCCCCGGTCGCACCCACTCAATGCCAGAAACATCCCCAGTTGTGACAGTGACACGTGTCCCCTGGGGGAGTTGCAGGATCACCCCCAGGTGAGAACCCCAGTTTTACTCTAAAACCCTGTCTCCTTAAGTTTGAGGAATATTAGGTAAGCATCTAGCACGTGCAAGGTACTGTGGGGACAGCCCAGTCCCCGTGCCCTGACACCCTGGACCCTTGGGAGGGGGGTGACAGCAGCAGTGATGGGGGAAGAGGCCTCTCGGCTGATAGCATGGGGTCCTCTGGGGCAGGAAGGGGTGTGTCCCCGGAGAGGGGACTGCACCCTGGCTGCAGGGGATGGGGACGAGGGCCCTGGGGTGTGAGTTTTGAGGGTGAGGTGGAGGTGTGAGGTGGGGGTCAGGGCAGGTGAAGGGTTCCATTTAATCCCAAGGGCAGGGTGGAGAGTGGGCAGGAAGGCAGGCCCGGCTTTGCAGAGGAAAATCCGTTTATGGCGCAGGGATTAGGGTCCCGCGAGAGGGGCTGAGGAGCGCAGGCTGCCCGCATGGGAGCAAGAGAGTGGGCCAGCCAACAGACGGGGTGCGGGCGAGAAGCCCCAGGACACGGCGGGTAGGAGGTGGCTAGGGTGAACCCTAGTTTTTCTGAGCAGCCCAAGGGGGCAGGGTGGGGGTGGTGGTATTCTTGGCTGAAGAGGCCCCCAGGGGAGAGGCACTTGGGGAAACTGAGGCCCAGAGGGGAAGTAGCCACCACCCTCCCGGGGCCGAGAGGACAGCAGACCCTCCCCCCCTCCCCCAGGCAGAGCCGTGAGCTCCTCTGAGGACGGGGGTGGGGGGGGTGTCAGGAGACTGGTGGCTTATGGGGGGGCAGGGTAGGGCAGTGCCAAGCCTGAGGGGGGCGGGAGTGGCCGGTGACCTCCACCTGGCTCCCTCCTCCCGCAGGAGGGAGAGCTGCTGGAACTGGCTTCAGGTGCCGGTGCTGTGACCGGGCAGTGGGGGAGGTCCCCCAACATTGTGGGGGGTGATAACCACCCCCCACCCAGGCTCCCTGATAAAGGTGGCCCAGATGGCCCGGGAGCTGGCAGATGATACCAGTGCAAGGAGCTGGCCTCCCTCGGAGGGAGGGCGGGGAGTGGGGGCCGCCCTGACTTTAACCCTCGCGCAGTGCTGTTCCAGAACAGCAGGTCTCCCGATGACACATGCTGTGGGGAGGGGGGGCTGTGAGAGCTGTTACCCCTCACCCCCAGGCACTAAGAGCCCCTGGGCCAAACAGGCCAGTCTGGGTGGGAAGTGAGCCACAGCCGTGTGGGTCTTCAGGGAGGAAGGAGGGATGAGGGGCTGCGGGGGGCTGGGCTTTTAAATAAACGGTAGTGGTAGCACCTCCCTGGGCGGGTGGGGGGGGTGGACGAGATGACGAACACACTATTAGCTGCTGCTGCAGCCCGCAGCCTGAGCCTGACTCTCCGGGCCCGTGGTCTCCCCACAGAGTATGGAGTGCGCACGGCGTGCGCGCAGGGCCTGCATGCAGGGCCTGTGCCGGCAGCTTGACAGTCAGGTGAGGAGGCAGATCTCACACCTAGGAGATGCTAAGCACAATGATAGAGAAGCCGAGCAAGGGGACAGTGGAGCGCACCAGTTGGGTAAGGAGAAGCCAGTCTTAGGGGTGAGGGTATACAGGGAAGGGGCAGAGTGACGTGGGGAGAGATTCCAGGCAGTGGGAACATGGTGGGTGAGGATTAGTGAGTGGGGCTGCAGAGAAGTCGAGGGAGGGTGTCGGGTCAAGGTAAACTCTTTCAGCTTTGATCTTGGGTCAGGGAGTAGCTCTGGGAAGTTGTAGGGCAGAGCACAGACTGGGTGGCTCAGCCACAAGCTGATGGGCTACTGCACTAGTCCAGGCAAGAGCTGGGTCTGGAGATATTTTGAAGGGGTTAGTGATCAGATTTGCTGCCAGGTACCAGGCAGGCCAAGATGAGGGATGGAGATGGTCAGGAGATGCCTGTCTAAGCTCTGGTGGCAACAACAGAGCAGTTGAAAGGGGAAACCTACAGGAGGAGTGGGGGATGTGGGGGGTGGGTAGGTGGTAAGCCTTGGGTTTGGGGGGGCAGGGCCCAAGGGGTATTTAAAATCACAGCATGGGGCTGCCTGGCTGGCTCAGTCAGTGGAGCATGTGACTCTTGATCTCAGGGTTGTGAGTTCGAGCCCCACACTGGGTGTGGAGATTACTTCAAAACTAAGAAATAAAATCACAGAATAGTGGAGCTTCCCATAGGAAGTGGACTTTGTAAAGCCATCAGAGTAGCCAGCTGGAGGCGGACCCCAGGCCCTGCTTTCCAGACCTCACCTTCAACTTCTCCCCTTTTCTGCTGCACCTCCACAACTGTTCTTTGGGTTCTTTTTTTTTTTTTTAAGATTTTAATTTATTTATTTGACAGAGAGAGACACAGAGAGAGAGGGAACACAAGCAGGGGGAGTGGGAGAGGGAGAAGCAGGCTTCCCGCTGAGCAGGGAGCCCGATGTGGGGCTCGATTGCAGGACCCTGGGATCATGACCTGAGCCGAAGGCAGACGCTTAACGACTGAGCCGCCCAGGCGCCCCATTGGGCTTCTTTCTGGACTACTCAGGGTGTCTCCGGGAAGCCCCTGGCGCTCCCTGCCATCTGCTGCAGCCCCAGCCTTCCCTAGCTCTCCAGGAATTCTCCCTCACCTGGGCCCCTACCCCGTGCCTCTACCCAGTAGGCGGGCATTTGTGCAAGGGTCAGCTGCCCGACACACCTCCGTCCCTACCCCAGGGATGACCTCAGGAGGTCATGGTGAAGGTTAGTTGTCCGAGCTGTGGTCCTTGGCCCCAGTGCCATGAAGTCCAGGCAGGCCAAGCTGTCTTGGCTCAGGGACCACCTTCATATTACCCTCTATCAGGTCTCCAGGACCTCTTGGCCTCCATTTTTCTGAACCAGCATGGCACTGTGGTGACTCCAACTGTCCCCAGGTCACCTCAGCCCGGTCCAAGTCAAAAGGTCATGTCCACCCGCTCCCCGCCCACCACATCTTTCTCCAGCCCGGGTTGCAGTCCGCTCTGGAGCGGCCGGCCGGCGGCGGCACCTGCGGCCTCCTAAGCGACCCCCACCCTGGCTAGCGGACTGTGGGAGGGTGACAGGGCCTGGTATCTTGCAGGCATTCGCCCATCGTTCTGGAGGTGGGAAGCCTGCGCACCCGAGTCCCCGCCACCCACGTGTGCACGTGAGCTCCCCGGCAACTGGGTGTGGGGCGGGGCTGGCCGGCATTGAGCCGGCAAGTCGACCCCAACCCCCCCTCCCCGTCCGCCGCCCCCGCCCTAGCGGGAGCGGGACCACGTGAGCGAAGCCGGCTGGGCTGTGGATGTCCCTGCCGCCACCGAGCTACGAGCTACGTGCGGCAGCTGTGTTCCCGGCGGCAGCACGCGTCCTGCCCCAGTGCGCGCTGGTACCGCTCTTGCAACCTGCTTATTGCAAAGTGGAACTGCGGGGAGGAGGGGAGGCTGGGAGGCGGGTACCAGTCCCGCCACCGCCCGAAATGGGGAAGTGAGCCAACTGCGGGGCGCGCCAGCAGCGGGATGGCCCCCCCCTTCCCTTCTGCTTTTCCCCGCCTGCGCCCTGCAAGATGGCGACAGGACTGCATGCCCCTCCGAGGGGCATCGCTCCCCCAGGCACCGGGTCTGGCCTAGAGCCAGCAGCCCCGCCCCCCAAACCGGACTCCCCTCCCCCAGACTGCAACCCTGGGGGCTTGTCACATCCAAGCACTACACCGTCCGGGTGGGGCGGGGGTCCTTTCCCAGGCTGTTTTGAGCTCCGTGGTTCTGTAGAGGATGTCTCTGCTGAGATCCCTCCCCCTGCCTTTGGGATTGTTCCAGGGAAGGGTGCAGCCCCAGAGATTTGCGGCCTGCGAGGTCTTGGGTACAGATGTGTAACCCCCCCTCCCCTCGGGGTAGGTGGCTGTAGCACACCTGGATTCACAGCCTTCTGGGGCATGCCCGCCTGCAGGTGTGAGAAACCCACAAGAAATCTTCATGGGGGAGCTTGCTGGACCCCACCTCCTCCTTTGGTTTTGGGGTGACCGGCAAGAAGGGATGGGGGAGGGGAGGTTTTAGTCTAGCTCTCTCCTGGGCCGTGGGTGATGGCAGGAACCCCCTCTGCCTCTCCTGACTCCTACCTCCTCCCAGCCCTTCACCCCAGGACAGTCTCTTAGCTTTCAGAGCAGAGATGTTCCTGGCTCCCCCCACAGCCACACGCCTGTCCCGTGGTCCTTCCTGCCGGCTCCTGGTTACCTCTCTGCACTGGGCCATCATCGGTCCTGTTTGGGGGGGCCTTTCTCAGACCCCAGGCCATGCACCCCTCTTCTGGGTGTGTTCCCTGACACAGGGTCAGCCTGAATCACCACAGTGCCTAGCCTCGGCCCGGTGTGTAACCCAGGAGGTGACCACCCTGACCCCGCTGTGGCTGCTCCCGAGTCCAGCCCTCTCCCTTTGTACCCGGAGCTCTATCCAGTGCCACAAAGGGTGTCACACAGGGGTGTGGGCGCCACGGCTCACGTGCCCACATTCTATCCACACCCCCACCACACACACACACCCTCCAGAACTCCTGGACGAAACGAGGGCTGGGGAGTCCAGGGTCCCAGGTACTCGGCGCAGGGCGCAGGGGTGCAAGCTCCGGGATCCTCACGGCCCCTTGGCCTGGGGCGTGGCGGGGGTCCAGGGTGGACCCAGCCTAAAGGTGGGGCCCTCGGCGCTCCCGGGAGATGCTGACCACGCTCGCTGGGGGGGGGTCGAGCTGAACCGTTCTGGGGCCGACACCCCAGACCGGAGGGGTGGGTGCGAACAGGCGCTTGGGGTTGGCGGCGGCTGGTCGGGGCAGGATGGGCGAGGCCAGCCTGGGAGGTGGGAGGGGTCTGCGGAGGAAGTTGCCGGGTGGCGGCCCGCCCCTCCCCTCCCTGTCCGTTCCGCGGGGGCGGGGTGAGGGGTGAGGCCGGTGGCCACGGCCTCCAGGCCCTCCCCTTCCCGGCGGCGCTGTGACCTGCGGGGGGCCGTCCCTGCCAGGGCCTCATGCCCTTCCCCACCCTCTGCCGGGCTTGGGGCTGCAGGTGGCCCTGGGGGGCCCTTCACATGTCCCTCTACCTCTAGAGGGGCCACAAGGGTCAGTGGGTGGACCGGGCATGGGAATCTGCCCAGACGCCACCCCATACACACCGACTTTGCGCCCCGGGTGGTCATTTTCAAAAGGTGAGGGTTACTGGGGTCGTGAGCACCTGGGAGCCTCTGATATGCCCCCCCACCCCCGGCCCAGCGGAGGTGGGGACAGGATCCATTTGCATAGGAAGAAGCCCCTGCAAAGCCCAGCATGCCTTGGGAGCGGGCGCGCGCGCGCGCGCGCGCCCGTGTGTGTGTGTGTGTGTGTGTGTGTGTGTGTATGTTCTGTACACCAGGAGATCTGTCTCCGAGGCGGTGCCGTGGGAGTGGGGGCGGGCCTGGTAGAGCTCAGCCTCTGCGGGTTCTACTTTTAACCCACAGAAACTGCTCCTGGAATTACTACAAGTTCCTAGGAAATAAAGGGCAGGAGTGTTCATTAGGGGCTTCGTGAAATGAGTGGGGGTTTTCTTTTGCACATTCACACGTTTTAAATTCACACCCAGAATCCCGCCTCTAGAACCAGGTGGGCGGGTGGGGTGGGGGCGGGGAGACAAATGACCAGGATCCTGTGGGTGTCCCCAAGCGCTGACTGCTTCTGTCTGTCCTCTGCCCCCTCTGCCCAGGCGAACGCCCCTTTGCCTGCGACTGGCCGGGCTGCGACAAGAAGTTCGCGCGGTCCGACGAGCTGGCCCGCCACCACCGGACGCACACCGGCGAGAAGCGCTTTCCCTGCCCGCTCTGCTCCAAGCGCTTCACCCGGAGCGACCACCTGACCAAGCACGCGCGCCGCCACCCCGGCTTCCGTCCGGAACTGCTCCGGCGCCCGGGCGCCCGCAGCACCTCGCCCAGCGACTCGCTGCCCTGCAGTCTGGCGGGCAGCCCCGCGCCCAGCCCCGCGCCCAGCCCGGCCCCCTCTGGCCTGTAGGGCCCTAGTCCAGCCCACCCTGCCGCACCCCTGCTGGGCCTGGGCATGGAGCACCAGCAAAACGCCTGCTGTCCGCAGCCAGGGGCGGGCCACGGACGACAGCCAGCGTCCCCGACACTGGACCGGGGGTGGCCCTTGGGAGGGGTGGCTGGGGCCCGCGTCTGTAAATAGCCGTGTTGGATAACTCTCTTCCCATGTGTTAAACAGGAACCCCAGGTGGGCGGCCAGCAGGCGCTCCCCTCCCCCCCATGGCCACCTCCCTGCTTTGGAGAGGGTGGATCTGGGGGGAGCGGCCCAGGAAAGGGGCACCTAACCAGTGCTCAGACTCTGCCCCCCCAGCCCCCCTCTCCAGGTTGGGATGATGTGTGCAAAGAGCCATAGATGAACCAGGGGTTACCCCGGCACCCCCCCCACCCTGCCCGGGGCCCCTCACCCCACTGAAAGCCATTGGAGATGTTCAGGGAACTGGGGTGCGGCCCCAGCCGCCCCCATCCGGGTACTCAATCTCAGGTGTCCACAGGTTCTGCCCTGCCACCCAGCTCCCCAGCAGTGGGGGCAGGGTGGAAAGGGGGGAGGCAGGGAGGGGGAAAGGCAGTAGGGTCCAGGTTTTGCTCCTAAGACTGGGATAGGGAGGGAGAGAAACGGGTTCTTCCAAAGAACATTTTGACTCACATGGAGGGGAGGTGGATAACACAGGCTGCAGCTGGGGCAAAGGCCTCCTTATTTATTTTCCTCTGTCTCTGCTGGTGGGAAGGAGCGGGGCAGTGAGCTGCCCCTCTTTGGGTGGGTGTGTGAGTGTGTGAGTGAGGACTGCTCCTGTCAGAGTCGAGTCCCCAACCTTGGCCTTCCACAGCATCGTGTGACAATCAGTCAATCCCTCCTGTTTGGGACCATGACAGCCATCGAGCCTAAGGCACCCCTTCCCTGCAGGTGGAGGTGTGGGGGCCAGCTCCATCCTGCCACCAGCCCTTCTTCCCGGCAGGTACCCCTGGTCACATGGCCCCTGGACCAGAGGTTGGGGTCCTGCTTGCAAGGGCAGGAAGCATGAGGGCTGACGCCCGCACCCCATGGGATAGCTCGTTTTTTTGGACCGGGTAGAATATTTTTTCAGGCACCAATCCCTTTCTTGACCTGGGCCCCGTGGGTGGTCCGTTGTCCTCAGGGGGTGTGGGTGTTGGGGGGAAGGTCTGCGTGATCTGAACTTAGGGTAGGGAGGGGTAGGTGCTGTGTCCTCTCCTGGCGTATTCCCACTGTGGCTTTGGTTGGGTTTCATTTTGGACAGGGACTGAGGACCCCCGCCCTAGAATGGGAGAGGACCCAGGCTCCCTGTCCCAAGACGCTGAAAGGACCTGTGTCCCACTGTTGGCTGCAGGAGGTTTGTGACACCAATGTGTGTTCCAGAACCTTCCTGTCTCCCCATCGGGGGCTCGGGTTTTGGATGGCGTTGTGGACCAGACCCAGCCTGGCAGGATCCAGGGATGGGTACTCGGGGTCCTGGGGAGGAGGCCAGGGAAGCCCTTCTGGAGCTGGAGTGGGAAGGGTCTTCTCGCCCAGTCTCTGGGCAGATCCTTTCCAGGCTGGTCCATCTGTACCCTAAACCCTCCTTTCCAGCAGTGTTGGTGAGATGCCTTAGTCTGTGAGGGCCGGCTGGGTCCCACCTTCCCCTATGTCTTTATGGACGTCCTCTTGATTGCCCCATCCCTGGCTGGTGCCTCTCCACAGGAGGTGGACGGTGGGTCTGAGGGCCCAGGAAGCTGAGGACTCCTCCCTCGCCCCTCCGCAGTGTCCGGGGGGCCTGGAGAGACCTGTGCCCCTCCCCCCCCCAAGGAGCTCGAGGTCATTGGGACCTGGTTCCAGCCACTTAGCTGTGGCATCTCAAGGAGGGGGTGAGGGGGGAGGGCCCCGAGGGACTTGTGCTTTCAGGGGGCGCCCCCACTTCCCCCTGTCCTGCCTGGCCTCTTCCTTGTATTTAATTAAACAAGCCCTTTTTTAAACCCGACTCTGGTGCCTGTGTGGTTTTTTCCCAGCTCTGGCCTTCAGCCGGCCAGCCGAGTGCCTGTGTCCCACTCAACAGTGTAGCCCCCAGGTCACCAGCCTCCTGCTGGGGGCCCTGAAAAGACCCCACTAGCTGGGACACGGGATAACGCTCCCTCAGCCCTAAGGCCTGGGGAGGGGGCTGCTGCCCCGCGTCACCCACGCCTCGCGCAGCTGCGCCCCCTCCTTCCCGCTCCGTTACCCGGCAACGGAGGCGCGGTGACACGGCGCCCGGGGGCGTCCGGCGCCAGCCCCCTTCCGGCTCCGGGAGCAGGGGGGTGGCCGTGCCCCTGGGGCTGCTGGTGGGCGTGACAGCGCTCGTCCCCAGAGGGTCCCCGGACCCCGCTGTCTCCGCGCCGCCCCAGGCTTGCGTGCCCAGCGGGTCTGCTCACGTATCGCACGCCTGCCGTCTGCCAGCTCCCGATTGGAGGGGACTGGGCGGGGGAGGCCCTGCGGGAGGAGGGCTCAGCGGCCCCGGGAGCATTGAGAAGCTGGTGAAGGTCTTGAACCCCTTTCCTAGGAAATGGACGCCCAGATTCCCGCGGTCTCCAGAGCCCCGAAGGCGGGTGTGGCTCCGGTGGGGGCGCGCAGACCCTCCCCAGGGAAGGCGAAGGCCGCGCCATCTGGTGGCCGCCCCTGGCACTGCACCGCCGGCTCCCGCCGAGCCCTCCCGGGGGTCCTGCCCCTGCGGCCGCGCAGGTCGCCCGCAAGCTGGGCAGGGGGCCCTCGCCCTTACTCGAGGACGGCCTCCCTGTTGCATCTCCCTAACCCCTGCTTCACTCTGTCCCCTTTCTACTGGCTTCTGCCCCGCAGGCTCGCAGACATTACTCCTTGGACCCCCGTCCCACTGTCCTCCTCCGGCACCAGCTGCCGTTTCTGCCCCTTTGGGCAGAGTCCCTGGAATTCGGGGTCCACGCACGCAGCCCCTCCCGCCTGTCTCTCTTGGACACCATCCCACGTGCTCTGGACAGCTCGAGATGTCCCCTCCTGCCTTGGGGACGCTCCCTGGTCGTGAGGCCTCGGGGACCCCTGACCCTTCCGGATCCCCCGCACCCCGGGCTCAGGCCCCCCTCTCGCTTTCCTCCCTGTACGCTCACGTCCCCTTATGTGCCGACGACGCTCCCTGGTCGGACCTCTACTCCGGACCCTCGATGTGCCCACTCCCCCCGCCAGGCTGCCCAGTCCCACCTCCCCTTCAGGCATCGGCACCTCCAGCTTTCCAGGTGGCAGGCCAAAATCCTTGGGGTCACCCTTGACCTTCACTCTGTCTCTACCCACGTCCATTCCATCCGGAAATCTCCCTGGAGTTCTATCCTCAAAGCACATCCCAAATCGGCCCACTTCCACCCCGTCCTGTGTCTCCACTTAGTCCACCCCATCATCGCCCACCTGGAGCGGAGCAGCCCCCTCCACCATGGCCTCCCGGTCGCCCCCACAGTCCGTTCCCCCTTCGGTGGCCACCAGAGGGCGCCAGTGAGCACCGAATAAGGCCCCGCCCCCGCTCTGCTCACAGCCCTCTGGGGTTCCCACCTCCCTGGGGGAAAAGCCCAAGTCCTCACCAATGTCCCCAAGGCCCTGCACAACCTGCCCCCTTCCCCTCCCTGCTCTCCACTCCTCCCTCTCTCCCCCTTGCCCACTCTGCTCCAGCCATGCGGACCTCCTCTCTGTTCCTCCAACGTGCCCACCCAATGCTGCCCCAGGGCCTTTGCACAGACTGTGCCCTCTGCCTGGAATGCCCTTCCCCCTCTACTTTCTTCAGAACTGCTCAAATCCCAGCTTCCTCAGAGGACTACATGGATCAACTCTTCTCTCAGCCGCATACCCTGTTCTTCTCCCCCCCCACCCCAGCACTTAGATCATGCAATCTCGGGGCATCTGGGTGGCTCAGTTGGTTAAGTGACTGCCTTTGGCTTGGGTCATGATCCCGGAGTCCCGGGATTGAGTCCCGCATCGGGCTCCCTGCTCAGCGGGGAGTCTGCTCCTCCCTCTGACCCTACCCCCTCTTGTGCTCTCTCTCTCAAATAAAGTCTTTAAAAAAAAAATCATGCTATCTCATTTCCTTATTTCCTATTATCTGTCTCCCCCACCTAGAGCAGCACCCCCACCAGGGTAGGGATCTTTCCCCTGTTCACCAGTGTTTCTAGCATTGTCTGGCACGTAACAGGCACTTGGTGAATATTTGCTAAATGGATGCCCAAGACCAGTGAGCCTGGATAGAGACTAGGTGGGCTTTACCTCACACACTTTGTCAGGCCACTTGCAGGGGCCCGCCTTTCTGTTCTTGGTGATGGCAGGTGTTGAGGAACCCCTGCATGAGGGGCCAGGTGGCTGAGGTGAGGAGAGCAGTAGGCTGGGAGGGGGCCCCGCATGTGCTCACAGGGGTCTGTGGCAATCACCAGCTGGTGGACCCAGGGTGGCCAACTGTTCATACAGAGCCTGGGATTTGCAGGTTTTTGGTGACATCTCCCCACGTTTTAAACATGGGCAACAGACAAATTTACATCATTTGAAAAACTACTAAAAAAAAAGCCCTGGTGCTCAAACACACACACCAAAAACAAACACATGCGTGTCCACAGCCACACGGTTCACGATGTCCCGATGCCCTTCGACAGAGGGATGGACACACAAAACGGACACACATGGGCATGGCACTCGGCTGCAACCAGGAGCAAGGCGCGCACACACGTGGCCCCAGGGACGGACCCCAGCCCACGACGCTCAGGGAGGGAACTAGACACAGAAGGCCACACGGGGTGTGAGTCCACGAGGGTGACACGTCCAGAACAGGCTCATCTGCGGACGGGAAGGGGGCTCGTGGGGGCCGGGGGCTGGGGAGAGGGGATGGCTGATGGGGACGGGGCTTCTTTCTGGCTTCGGAATATTCTGCAGTTACATAGTGGTGATGGTTGCACAGAATAGTGAATGTACAAAATGCCCCTGAATTTTCACTTCTAAAATGATTA